GGAAGGAAGGAGAGGTGGTGGGGAAGGAAGGAAGGAGAGGTGGTGGGGTGGGCTCGTGGCTCTACCTTCCTCTGCCGAGTAGACGACGGTCACGGGGCTGAAGGACCCTTCCCCCTTGTTGTTGTAGACCCCCACTTTGACCTCGTAGGGGGAGAAGGGCGGCAGGCTCTCGTTGCGGAAGACGTATCTGGCCGCGTCGGGCGAGGCCACCACGGTCTGCATCCAGCTGACCGTGCCCAGGGGCCGGAAGGCCACCACGTACCCGAAGCCTCCTCCGTTCTGCAGCTCCTCAGGCACTGTCTGGTGGCAGGGAGAAGGGGGAAGAACACAGCACTGAGCAATGCCACGGGTTATCTCCTTGTTGGCACGCTGGCCGTTGCCTCTGGGTCCTTCTGAAGCTGCTGTCCTAAGTAGGGCACTGGAGACAGGAGGTGGCTGGGGTCCTACCTCACAGCTCACCTGAATTCCTGTCTGTGCTAGAGCCTTGCTGCTCCACAAGCTCCCTGTAGCCAAGGGGGCAAGCAGAACCTCCAGAAGACACTTCTCCTAAGACTTAATTCACCTCTGCAGTGCCTTCACTGACTGGATGGAGCCTCCAGTAACAATGGGAGTAATTTGAGGTGCTGCAATGGCCAAGAGCCTGAGGTTTGTTGGGGTGCACTGAGGACGTGGTCCCTGCTTTCCCAATATCCATGAAGCTGCTCTAATGTCTTTGGTATCACCTGTGAAGGCCTGAAGAACCTACCCTGGCAATGTCCCAGCCAGCACAGGGTTAGGGATTCCTTACTGACCCATTGCTAGGGGGTGACCCAGGCCAGGTCAGCCAACTGCCCACATCTCACATGACATGGAGATGTTGGAGCTACAGTGGCAGGGAGCTACTTGTCACAGATGTGATGGAGAAGGGTAGGTCACAGTGCTAGGTAACAGCCAGAAGAAACAACCTGCCACCTCCAGGTCACTTCTGGACCACCTGGTGGACTTCTGGACACACTGACACCTCCTACTCTCTCAGGCTGGCAGCTCCCCAAGAGCTGCATCAAAAGCTAAAGCTTCAATGTAGAAAAACCATCTGTAATTAGGGGCCACTCTCCCTCAGATGTCCATGGTGTTTCAGTTGGTGACTGCTTCTTACTCTGCATTGTAAGGCTCAAAAAATACACCAGGCCACAAAGAAAAGGCCTCTGGATGTTTGAAAGAGTAAACTGACTGTTCTACCCAAATATAAGTTATATCTTGTGCAAATTATGACTCCTATCACTGTCTGATGTTCTTGCCTTGTGCCTTCTTGAAACATATTGCAGTATCTTTAGGAGACACAGCGTAGCTAATTAGTCCAGCAGAGGAGAAATTTAGCACGTTGAGCTGTGTGGTAAGGACAAAAACCCATTTATAGTTTTTTAATAATCTTAAAAATATCCCTGGCGATTCATCCTGCCAGCTTGGTCAGAAATAGTGCTAAGTGGAAGTGTTAGCACGTCTAGTGGAGTTCATTATTAGGAAAAATATGCCAGCTGCATCACATCACAACATGAAAATATGAGCAGACAAACGACTAAAGTTCTAACCCCGGCTGCCTTAAGGAATATTAAACATTCCTCATCTCTCTATCTCCCCTTGCTGCTTTCATTAGCAGCAACGTGTTGTGCTCTTAACTGTTTGCTGCCCTACATCCCAGCAGAGGGATGAAGGCTGAAGCTTGGCCACAGTTCTCAACCAGCCACAACTCTCCACCAGGTCAGGGTTTGATCTGTTTGATCCCTCGGGTGGGTTTCTCCCCACCCAGGCTTTGCCACAAGGGAGCTGAGCTCCTGTGGAGGCATCGTGGGTTCTCTGACACCTTCCTTGCACAGGGGCCTGGGATGGGGAAGGGTTTTGACTCAATTTTAATGGCTGGGCTATTTTTCTCACACAATCTGAGCTTTTTATTGCAAACTGTTTGATATCTACAGGAGCTTCCCTGGTGTCTGGGGTGAGAGGTCTGTATTAATGTTCCTCTGGGTTTGGATTCCACTTACCTCCCAGGTAATGACCAGCTCAGATTTGCTCCCTCCACCTCCACTGACATTAGCTGGGGTCACTTCAGGAACTGGTAAAAAAGATGCAGAAGATGGATGTGGCAACTCTGGAGCCAGAAAAGCACACTGACATGGAACAGACCTGCACAGCAATAGGACTGTGCTGGCCTTCTCCTGCTGGGTGCCAGAAATGCTATTAAGAAATGACTAATTTGCCACAGCAAACAGCACATTAAAAGTATGTCAATAATAGTATATTAAAAGTATGTCAATTAACTTGTGTATTCAGTCGCAAATTGTTTAGTTTAAACATTTATCTTCCATAAAAAAAAGGGGCTTTTATTTATTTTCCTGTTTCATAGTCTGTTCCCTTACAGGCTGAAAGAGAAGAGAGGAGCCACCTGCCAGGGCTTTCCCATAAGCAGGGCACATATCCCTGCAGCCACCAGCATGCTGAGCTACGTCCTGCTGTGTCCCCTTTCTGCCAGATCACAAGGCAGGGACAGCACCAAGGAGCACTGAAGGTCTCCAGGCTGGAGTACGTGCTGGAATCCCCAAGCACAGGCACTACTGAAGACTGCTCTTGGAGTTTTCTCTCTCTCATCAATGGATACTGGGAAGCATTTCCCAAAAAACCTGCTCAAATAGCTTTTTTTTCCCCTGAAAATCATTGCTGTCTTCAGGGCATGAAGTCTTCTTATATTTCAGGAGTCCTGGAGTGAGCAGAAGAGCCCATCAGGAGCCCCACAACCTCCCCTGCCTGCTGTGTGCACATGAACAGCACAGCGTGGGAGGAGAGCGACGCCACGGAAAGTGCTCCTCAGCTTCCTCCACCACAAACCAACCCCTCAGCAGTGACCAGCAGCTGTTAGACAAGATTTTACTCATCTGCCCACCCCTACTTACGAGCTTCTTCGGTTCTCCTCTTCTCTGAAGGTCTGCTGGGCTCTCCAATCCCAATCAGGTTGGCAGCCACCACTCGGAACTCGTACTCGACCCAGGGGTTCAGACCCACCACCGTCGCCGTGAACGTCCTGCCGTCGATGACCTCTGGAACTAGGAGACAGCCACAGGTCAGGACTGCAACGAACCCCACTGGAGGTGTCCAAGATTGCTGAGGAGAGGCCACGGGTATCTCATACCCTTCAAAGGGAGGGGTTGATGCAAGCAGAAAGTGAAGAAGGATGGATAAACCTTCTCTCACTTTTCTAACGTTAACTCTGGAGAAGAGGCAGCGTTAGAACGTTGTGTTTTTAGCACAGAGATTCCTGCTCTTAAAGACTTTCTCCTAAACAGCCACTGTTTTGAAAACAAAGTGTCACAAAAACAGGTTTAAAGAGTTTTTCTTTCCCCCCTTTTTAAAACACACTGCTCCCTTTATTTCATAGATACCGGGACAAACTTAACCTCTGATGGAATGAACAATGACATCATGGGATTTTTCTCTCTATCAGGAAAATATCTCTACTTAAACACAGGGCAGATGACACCGTCTGGCCCTGAGGGATGTCTTTACAGACCACAATTACTGCTGTAGATCTCCAGCAGGGCGACAAAAGAAAGGAATTCATTCTCTTTACCCTTAAACATTCATGAGAAAAATGGATGAGCAATAGCACCCGCGGGACCCTAAATCTTTGGGCTGCCAAACTGGAAACGAGTTACTCTGCAGCCAGTGAAATCACTTCTGAGGGTGAAGAGCTG